CGATTAAGTAGACCCGCGAGCTGTTCCTCCGTTGGGTTTAACACTCTATAGGTTACACAAAACTAACACTCAAAATAATTAATTTAAAACTATTTAATACTAACTTCATGCTATAATTAATAAAATCTACAATATTTAATAAAACCTATAATAATTAATAAATTCTACAATACTTAATAAAACCTACAATAGTTAATAAAACTTACAATAATTAATTTGTACTATTTATAACGATGACATACGCGACACTACTAAATAATCACTACGTAACCGCTAAATAAACTAATACTTAGTTTTCCGAACATGATCTCTATTTGCTCGTAGAATGCAAAGGGCACCGTTCGGAAAGGACGACTGATATTGTTGAACTGATCCTCCCTCGTTAGGATCGATGTGGCGTAATAGGTCGATCCCCACTCTTTCATGGTCAATACTTTTTGGGAAGGAAAAACAGCATGGGAAAGTGTCTTGGAGGTCGCGTTTCCTTTCGTATATTCTTAGAGCAACATCTGCATTTTTTTCCCATACACCACTCGGAGCCTCGAGGTCACTTGGCCACGATGCCGAGGGTGTGCGAGTCTGGACATTATAAAACTGTCTCTTGTCTTCTGCAGGACGACCACCCGCGGATTGCCTGTAACGTCTTACTGCCATCCACGAAGACCTTGCCTATTGTGTTTTCGGCCATACCTCGTGACATTAACTTGTAAAAAGAACTTTCAACCTCGAATTTCAACTCCATGTTATAAATGTTTCATATTACACCAAATGTATGTGTTTACCAATTTTATTTATTTTAGTTTCTTAGTTTCTTCATGCATCGTAATGAAGGTGTGGTAAATTTCATCTTACAATTAGTTTCATTCTAATATCATTATTCGTTTTCTATGATCCATGTTAATTGCATATTATTTTTTTGCGGATACAAGAACCTCGAACACTTGGAGTAAGATTGAAGTGGTAATAAAATAACAGTAAGTCCATATTCAATATTTCAGGAATAAACAGCGGCTCGCTCCGTTTCAGGTAGCAAGCCGCCTTCGTCCGTCGACCGTAAGCGGCTGGTGTCATTCATACCTGAATGACTTTACATTTGGGGGTGACTGTGTGGACGAGCTTGTCCTCCGTCGCGGGGTGCCGACAGATGTTTTTACACGAGTGCATGCGTTAATTGCTTATCGTTCGAAGCTTCGGCCGATAGGATAATATCTTTATTCCTGAAATATTGAAAATTGACTTACTGTATGTTTTATATGCATTGCATATTTTATTACCACTTCGATCTTACTCTAAGTGTTTGAGGTTCTTGTATCCGCAAAAAAATAATAGACAATTAACATGGATCATAGAAAACGTATAATGATATTAGAATGAAACTAAGATGAAATTTGCCGCACCTTCATTACGATGCATGAAGAAACTAAGAAACTAAAATAAATAAAATTGGTAAACACATACATTTGGTGTAATATGAACCATTTCTAACATGGAGTTGGAATTCGAGGTTGTAAGTTCTTTTTACAAGTTAATGTCAAGAGGGACGGCCGAAAACACAATAGGCAAGGTCTTCAAATTAATTATTTTGATTATTTATTAATTATTTGATTAATTATTTTGAGTGTTAGTTTTGTGTAACCTATAGAGTGTTAAACCCAACGGAGGAACAGCTCGCGGGTCTACTTAATCGCGCAGTGTGTATGGACACTTTTCACGGACGGGACAATGGCTCAGTGCGTGTGGACACTTTTCGCGGACTTCTGTGGTGTACGTGCATGTGCGAATTAATTTCA